CAATGCTGGACTTTGATCCTAACCGACGTGCCACAGCTGCTGAGTGCTTGAAGCATCCTTGGCTAAACTAGTGACCTCAGTGAAGTGCTAAACCTATAGTTTTAAATTGTCACTCAAAATACTTAGTAACCACAGTATATAGCAATTAAAATTTTGGATAGGTCATCAATATTCATTGGTGAAACAAAAACCTGATAGAAATCCCCATTACATGACTGGCTTTGTCTGTTATTGCTTTCAAGAGGTGGTGCATTCAGTTATGTACAGCAAATTTTAAGACATTTTTTCATTCTATGTTTGTTTTATATTGTGCTTATGTATAATCATTAATTTATGTTGATCAAATTTCATGTAAGAGCCATAATTTTATTAAGTTATTGCACTGCAAATAATAGGCTACTTGTATAAGAAGTTTCTGAAATCAGTGTTACAAATTGACTAATAGGAGAAGACTTTTAATGTCATATTTTTCGAAAATGGAGGGTAACACTGTTTTCCTTAACTTACTAACTAAATCATGTGTCAAAACAGTTCAGTACAGTTTGGCTGATCTACAGATTTATTTTCCTTGACTGTAACAATAAATTGGTACACCTGACTCAATTCATTGTGAACTTTTAGCCTGTTACTACCTATGAACTTAATTCTTTTGTTATACATTTTCACTGGTATGAATTATTCCACCAAACATGCAGATTGCTCTATCATTATTTTGCTTCAAGAATTCCACAACAGTAACTTTAACAATTTAATGCCTTGAATTTAAGTTCAGAAGTTGAAAGAAATAATACCGAGTATTCCCAAAAGTTATTATGGGGTTTTAGGAGGCCATCTTTTCGTAATCATACATATTAAAGAAGAAAAAAGCACTCAATGAAGGTTAATTCAAATTGTTGTAAGTAAATTTCCATGTGCACTTCTTTCATGGCATAACATGTCTAGCCAGTACATGATTTAAGCCCATATATTCCTCAGTATCTTTAGAGCTACTGTTTCAACAGCTCCAGAGGTCTGTTCTTTGAGTTTATCTAAGTTGGCCACTGGTATGCTCATATGTTACATGTTCAATGTAACTAAACAAGAATAAGTTAAGAGAAGTAAATCTTGTGATCTTTGAGGCCAACCTTCAGTATCCAGGAAATCTTATTGAGTGCCTCATGATCAGTGTATTTGTAATGAGATGATACTCTACCTCACTGAAAAATTCCTCTCTAGTATATCAAAAGTGAATGTTTCCAGTGATCATGGCCTCAGCAAAGAAAAGGTCATGTATCTTTGTTATGTTGTAAGTCACACCACATTAATTTTCATGGAGTCACTGTCATGTTGGATAAATCCATGGGGATTTTTTAATTTAAAGACAATAAAGTTCCACACATGGGAATTAGTAATTACAGGGATGGTAAGGCATGTATGTCTTGTCACAAAAGGAGTACATGTGAAAAGTTATAGAAACTTTTTAAGATTACCTTGATGTCAGACCCCCAGTTTACTTAATGATGTTTAAAGAAAACTCTGACTGACTTTCTGGAAATCCACATACAGATTTGTACAAGTATGCAATGGTACATTGGTGTTCAAATTCTGATAATGAAGTTAATATTGTCTCCTTTGAGAGACTGAAAGGATTAACCTCATTCATCCTTTAGTTTTCAGTTTATTTTGCTGTTTAATTAAGTCCCTGGAAGGTTGTCATCATGCCTGTTTATATAATGTATTCTCTGATTTGGGGGCAGGGTTTAAGTATAACTTCATATGCAGTAGAATTGTTCTGGATATTGTTAACTATGTTGTTTTTTATTTAAGTTCAGATTATGGTATGAGTCCCACACCAGAGAATTTCTCAGCACAGTTTTTGATCCTACACAGATGCTACATTTTGATTCAGTTTCATTGCATTGGTTTAGTTCAGGCCCATCTAATGTGCACCTTATGGGTACATGTACATACAAACTGTTATCATTGTGGGATGGGGGCAGAAATATTACAAGATGTCTGAAATTACAATTTAATATATGTTTTGATTCTACTTATTTGAGGGAACCAGGTTTTTCAGTCATGTAAGTAAAAACTCAAGTTACAGGTCAGCAGTAACAGATCAATGCTTGTATGACCTTGAGGGTGGCTGTGACTATATACTTTTTGTTATGGCTAGTAAGATGTATTGTCAGGCTTTTCTTTTTATTCTATTAAATACATTTTAAATGTTCATTCCTTTTGTTTAGTAAATGTGTAGCTGTAATCTGTTTAACTGTGAGACTTGTATGGACAGTCCAGAAACCAGTGTGTAAGTAATTTAGCTTATTACAAAGAAACAGAAGGTTTTATTAACTTACTCATATTAAATTAACAAGAAAGGCATGTACAGAAAATGCTTAGTAATGCATAACCATGTTACTCTCCACAAACCATAGAAATCGGTGTTCGTGACTTAAACTCATTGGATTATGAACCATCCATATGTATATTTCTCTGTTACATACAAGTGTTGCCCACCACCATACACGAACGTTTGAAAGTGGAATGTGGACTGATGAATATTGTACAAGACTGGGTGAGCTTGAGGGGCACCCAAACCATAATCTTCACTTTTACCTCATTCTTAATTACTAGAACATGAAGCATATAAGTACAGTGTCATGCTTCAGGTTACAGGTGCTCTAAAACTATAGGTAATGTGTCTTTTGGCCACCATTAGAGGGTCCGAAGGGAAATGACGGCTAATGCGCATATGTAAATGCAGATGTATAACATTTCTGTCAGATTAATTGTGTTTTATGCTTACAAATGACAAATCTAAGATCAAATTGAAGTTTTTGAGGCATACAAACATAAATTTACAGAATTATAGAGGCAGGGAAGTGATTTCTGATGATTGACTTTATATTGTGATTAGAATAGATTTTACTGCAATGTCTCAGTAGTGACCCTGATTTGTAACCCAAGCAATAAACAAAACTGAACCTGTGTACCATGATCTGATCTGATCTGACTAATGCTTAGAGGCTGGTTTTATATTGCATAAATTCATACAAGATCAGATGGCACAACCATGCTAAATATTTTATTCTAAATACTGTGTTATTCAGTTTTTATGAACAGTATGACAAGTGTTGCATAACACACAGTACAAAGTGCAACAAAAAGGGGGTTAATACTTCATTCTTATTCATGTCATGATTATGCCTTCTATCTGTATGCTAAAAGTAGTTTATGCATCCCAAAGGGGCTACATTTTTGTAGGTCACAGAAAAATGGAGGAATACAGCATGTGGTAAATGATTACTAAATATCATTCAAATAAAATGCTTTCTTGTATTTCACAGAAGGGTTGTATGAAATAATAAAGCAGTATAATTGGACTGATAAGTATTTATTTTTCATCCAAAAACCATTGAGTCTTCCATTAGTGATATAAAAATGGTACTGGATTTTTAAACCACATGACTGTGCTGTATGTATGGCATAGGTTCTTCCTTCATCATTTGACACTGTTAACCAGTTAACACTGGTCAGCTGACCAATTTTGGGCCCCAGCTAATCATTACATTAGTGTTTCTTGAACTGCTTTTGTGTAAAGAAATACTTCTTAGTTGATTGCCATGCCTAATGTAATATAACATAAAATTGTGTAAATGTCCCCTGCCATGTTATCATACTAAATCACTATATGAAAGGCATTTGAATTAACTGGTATTATATTGTCAGAATACATTTAATTTAAGTAGTACAGCAAAAAAATAATACTTTCTTTATCAGTCTCTCACAGATTTTGGACCCTGACTATATCAGTTTTACTGCCTTCACCAAATGAAGCATTTCTGCTGCTTATATATTCTTGCCAAGGTAAAAGCAACAGAAGTCCCATCTGTTAGTTTTGTAGACAATAAGTTGAAATTTTGCTAATAGAGTTGTCCTGGACAGGCTTTTTAACTGTTACCTCATAGTGACTTAGTCACCAGAGCCTCATCTACAAGATACCAAGTATTTGACAGTGTGTATGGAATGGTAATGGAAATGCTTCCTCCTCAATATACATTTTAAATGAGTTTCATGAGACAGATAACAGGTTGCACCTCCCTTTCAACCATAAAAGGAATAAGTAATGACACAATTACAAATTTTGTAAGTAACAGATTTTGTGTTGGTACTATAGAAAAAATATGGAAAGGACATATTCAAATAGTAATTTGTGGTACAATCCCCCTCCAAAAGAATTATCTAATATTAATCCAGAGGAGAATATACAGAAAATCTCAAATGAAAAGATTTTGTTTGGATGGTTACAGAATTTTGTGAAATGTATATCACTTGGAGATATGTATTACAATGATTGAACTGAAGGGTATGAGGGCATGGATTGGATTCATCTGGCTCAGGATAGGACCCTGTGTTGGGCTCTTGTGAAAAGTAATGCACCTTCTGTTTCCATAAAAGCAGGGAATTTCTTGACTACCTGAGTGACTATTAGCTTTCTAAGAATAATTCTGCTCAATGGAATTAAACAGATGGTTAGGCTGACTGTTCAGGGTTGTGAATATAGATTGATTTCTATTACTGTACACAACATCAGAGTATCTGGAGTTCACATGACCATGAACTATTAATCTGTAACCATCAGAGAGAATTAAAGTAGCATACAATCATAATTTACTTTGAGGCTAAAGGTTAAGTTATCCATACACATAAGATCAAAGTGTATGGAA